CCCTCCCTCCCTCCCTCCCTCCTCCTCCTCCTCCTCCCCTCCCCCCCCCCCCCCCCCCTTCCCTCCCCCAACCACCCGCGCCCGCGAAAATCCTTTGCCTCTCCCTTTCCTCCGCGTCCCTCCCCCTTCACGTCAACTCTGCCTGACCCTTGCTTCCTGGCTCCTCTCTCGCCTCTTGTCATTTCAATTCTGCTGTGAGTTTGACCTGCCGGCAGGCGGACGCGGCAGGCGAGCTGCGCAAGTTTGAACTCGGAGCAGAGGCTGACAGGAGAGCAGAAGCAGCGATGAGCTCGAGGGCGAAGGAGGAGCGAGGAGGTATGAAGAAGAGGTCGACCCCTGCCCCTCACTTCCAGTCAGGCGCTAGGGGAAGATCCGACCTCTCGAGCTTGTCGAGCATGCGGGATGTGGTCAAAATGGTTCTCGAAGATGTCGAAAGGCGATCAGCCGGAGGAGGAGGAGGAGGAGGAGGAGGAGGGACGGGGGGACGGGGGTTCACTGTGGATGAACTCGTCAAGTCGCTTGGAGAAGCACCCCACAGGAGAGCTTTCAACCTGGCAGACGACCAGCTGCAGCACGAGAAATTTCTGTGCACGAAGCTCGCGGAGGAAGCAGCTGCTGTGTGGGCGGGAGGCAAGAAGGCTGCTGCTCTTGACCTTCTCCGACGCTCAATCCTCCTCTGTCCAAGGGATCTGCCCCTTCCTGTGCTCCGGCTCTGCGGGCAGGTGAAGAATCTGCTCCTGCTCCTGCTCCTGCTGCTTTCCTCCCCTCTCCTCTTTTCCGCTTTCCTTCTTTCATCCTATGTTTATCATTAGTTGCTCTCCTCTCCCTGCATCCTTGATCCTTATGTTGCCTTGTGCAGATGCTTGCACAGTTTGAACAGCAGCCAAAGCGACAGCAAGTTGGCGCGGAAGAGGAAGAGGAGGAGGACACGGTAGGGAATGTAGAAGGCGGTGCTGCGAAACGGATCTTGAGCTTCGTAGTCCAGAAGGATCCCAGGTGAGGAGGAGGAGACTACTGACGAGCGCGTGACCTGCTGCTGCACAGGGACATCCAGTCATCTCTCCTCCTGGCCCGGCTCACGCGCACAGCGGGAGAAGTCAGCGAGGAGGAGGAGCTTCTGTATCAGGTCTCGCCCCTTGCTCCCCGCCTCCGCCTCACCGACATGACGGTGCAAGCAGGTGCTGGAGGAGCGACCACATCACCGGGAGGCCTGGTACTCCCTCGCTCTCCTCATGATCAACCGCGGCGACCTCAAGGCTGCGGAAGAATACCTCAGGAAGAGGTGCAGACTGAGTCCTTTCCTCCCTACCTCCTTCCTGTCCTGTTGCCGTTCCTCTGTGCAGCCCTCCTCTTCTCTCCTCCTCCTCGCTTCTGCCGTCGCTTCTCTCCTCACCCCTCTGAATCTTCCTTGTCCCCTTGCAGCTCCCTCCCTCTTGCTCTCTAATGCTCCTCCCCCCTCCAACGCTCCTCCTCCTCCTCCTCCTCCTCCTCCTCCTCCTCCTCGCCCCCCCCTCTCTTCATTTCTTCCCCTCGTTTGCCCTTTGCCTCCCAGCATTTCTCACATCCCCGCAGCCTCGAGATTGATCTCGATTTCGAGCCTGCCGTCCAGCTCCTCACCTCTATCCTCCTCAAGTCCTCGAGGACCGAAGAGGTCACAGAGCTAACGAGGAGGAGGGAGCAGGAGGAGTCGAGGAGGAACCAAGCGTCCTGGACGGGATTTTCCAGAGCACACCAGGGAGTCTCAATGGCACCAGCAATTGTTGAGAAAGGGGCAAGAGGAGGAGGAGGAGGAGGAGGAGGAGGAGGAGGAGGAGGAGGAGGAGGAGGAGGAGGAGATGTGGTGATGGGTCAACGAGGAGGGGATCGTTCACGTCCTCGACGTACACTCCGAGACTTGTATGACGCAGCGAGACAAGAGCAGAAGAAGCAGGAGGACCATGACGACGAGCAGCAGGAGAAGCATCGGGAGGAGCATCGAGAGGAGCAGCGGGAGGAGCAGCGGGAGGAGCAGGAGGAGCAGCGGGAGGAGCAGGAGGAGCAGCGGGAGGGGAAGCTGAGCGGGAGGCTGGAAAAGAAAGTGGAAGAGAAACTGGATGCACGGCAGGAGCAGAGTCACTGGGTGGGTTTGCCTGCTCCTGCCCCTGCTCCTCCGTCCGCTGCCTCGTCGGATGTGCCGGAGGAAGACTCGGAGTCAGAGAGGGCAGAGAGCTCGCGCTTGAACTGCATCTCCTTCGTCAACAGCCTTGGGAACGTCGTACACGTGGTGGGGGCGATGAACCAGCCGCATCGCCTACCGGAGGACCCAGAGTTTGCGCAGGGGAAGTACAGAGACCGGAAGGAGTACAGGAGGGAGGAGGAGGAGGAGATGATGAGGGACCCCGACAGCGACGAGCTCAAGATCCTCAAGAGGGTGAAGCTGAGCATCGTGGCAACCAAGAAGATCGACGGGACCCTGAGCAGCTTCGTGGGCTACGTGATCCAGTGCGAGTGGGGGGAGGCGACGTGGCAGGTCATGCGGAGGTTCTCCGAGTTCGTCAAGCTGGTGGAGCAGCTGGAGTTGAGGTCGGGGCGGATGCACCTGAAGCACCTGCTCCCCCGCAAGGTGGTGTGGGGGAGCAGGAGAGAGTCGGTCGTGTCCGAGAGGCAGAAGCAGCTGGAGCAGGTGCTCCTCTTCGTCCTATCCTACAACCACCACGAGATACTCCAGCATGACAACAACCGTAAGCTGCTCCTGCTCTTCCTCGCTGTTCCAAAGTCCCTCAACGAGGCCTCCTCGCTCCCCCGCGGAGTGCTGAGGAAGAACACCTCATTCTCCAGCTCGGAGATGGTGGCGATAGAGGAGGAGGAGAAGTCGGACGTGAGCCAGCACGCTGGGAGCGTGCGGAGGATCACGCTGACTGACGGGCATCATCTTGCTCTTTTCGACGACAACGGAATCATTCACAGTGAGACGATATTGGGTGCAACCCCGGAGAGGTGTCACCGTAAGTACAAGGGCAAAGGGAGGAGAACACAGGTGGGCTGGGGCTTCGAGGAGGAGGAGGAGGAGGAGGAGAAGAGGAGGGAGGATACGCTTGACAGCATGCTTGAGGCTGAGAGAGAATTCTTTGCCTCCTTCTGCGATGAGCAAGACCTAGAGGACTTGCAGCTTGGAGAAAAAGAGTCGGTGCGACGAGAAGGAGGAGAGGGGAGAGAGGGAACAAGAGCAGAAGGAGCAGGGGGGATACAAGAAGGAGAGCAGGAGCATGGGTTGATAAGCCACCAGACATCTCTTGACGAAGTTGAAGTTGCTGAACCTTTCAGCAAGCCGAACTTGCCACCTTGTTCGCTCAAGTCAGTCAACCATCTTTCCGACGAGAATCCTCAGAGAACAGACTTTATTATCTCACAAGCATCTCTCATCGCACAGCAACAAGCTGTTCAGCCTTGCAGGCCACCAGCTGACCACCTTGATCCTCCTCCTCGTCCCTTTACAGAGAACCCGCAGGAGGAAGACAACAAGCGACCACAAGCAGCAGAAGGGCAGGTGGCTGCGGAGGAGGATGAAGGGGAGGAAGAATCGTTCAAGGATCTGAAGCAGGTCCTCTCCTCGTCTCCTTGTCGTGTTGCTGATGCCTCACAGCTCGAGGAAGCCCTCAAAGACGCGCACCGGAGCTTGCAAGAGGCCACCCAGTCAGTCTTCCTCCTTCCATCAGGAGCCGCGTATGAGCTAGGGGACGAGATCGAGGATGCGGAGGAAGAAGAGCAACAGCTCCGGCGAGACTACAGCGACTTCGAGGTCTTCACTCCTCCCCGCCGTCACTTTGCCGAGGTTTCTTCATCCTTCTCCTCCATTCCTCACATCGTATGACCCTCTTCCAAGGCCACAGCAGGAGAAGAGCAGGACCCCTTGAGCTTCCGTGGTCCTTCTACTCCATCCGACCTGCTCCAGCTGCCAGATAAGCTGCTGGAGGAGGAGAGAAATCACCCGCAGTTGAATCCCAGGATTGGAATGCGGGTAGTGCTCTAGGAGGAAGCGTCCTCTTTAAAGACACGCTGTCTCGCGAGTACAGCAGCGTTCAACTGATGAAACGTCTTTCTCTTGCCTCCTCAAACCCCATCCCCTTCCTCCTCTCCCTTCGGCGTTTGGTCAGTTGACTCCTTCGGCGTTTGGTCAGTTGACTCCTTCGGCGTTTGGTCAGTTGACTCCTTCGGCGTTTGGTCACTTGACTCCTTTGGCTTCCTCCTCCCCATCACGCTCGCGACTGTGCTGGAAAGCAAAAATCTCTCCCTCCCAACCTAGAAGGACAAGGGAGTCAGGGAGGCAGCAGGATATGGGAGGAGGAGTTACTCTTCTCTTCTCTGTCGTCCGACCGAGCAGACTCTGCAGGCATCGACAAGTCCTTCCTTCGGGAGGAACCTGTGCGCACGAGCATGAGCGAGAGAGGAGGAGCACGAGGAGTGGATCGAGAGCATATCGAGCAACCCACCTCCAGCTGATCCAGGGCATTCCAGACTGAGCAGGTGCAGCGGAGGATCTTGCCCTGCAGCAGCGCTCGTCACTCTCACTTCCTCTCTCCTCGCCCAGACCTCTCGACTGACGGCACTGCGATGTCCTCCTCGAGCTCGGGGACCTGCTGCCTGCCGTCAGTCCAAGGGGTCGACCATAAAGTCAAAGACCTTGCGCGAGGACTACATGCTTCCAGGAGAAGGTGGCGTTTGAGTACTTGCTGAGGTTGGGAGCTTGACCTGCACAGATATGAGAGGAGAAGTAGTTGGGCAAGCAATCGATCCCCCTACCCGTCTTGACATCCGGCAGAGGGATGTCAAAGGGGACGGTGGGACTGAGTTGACGCTCCTTGTAGTACTTGAGGATCTGACGGCCTATGTCGTCAAGGACCTGCGGTCGCATGTGAGGGCATGAAAGGGGGGACAGAGAAAGCTGGAGAGGAGGGCCCACCTCGGTCCTGGGAGCCTCCATGGTGTGGATGATGTGGCCCTCTGAGTTCCTGCGGGTGTTGACCTCCTGGAAGTCCTATGCAGGGCGTGAGATTGACAAGGAGGGGGAAGGGGAGGGGAAGGAAGAGGAAGGACGGAAAGAACTGAGAGGGAGAAAGGATTTTCCAACCTTCTCCACTTTCTTCCACCAACCAGGTTCGCTGGCGAAACCGTAGAACTTGGCACTCAGCCAAACCACGCCTGCATCCATCGACTTGAGCTCGAACACAATCGACAAAATAGAGGTCACCAATCGCAATGGTCGGCGCGTCATACTCCAGCCACAAGGTGGTATACAAGCTGCAGAGCAGATGTCACGATTGACATACGAGACAAGTAGAGGAGTCGGCGATCTGGCATACCTGTTGTGAACGAAGCGAACAGCTATGTCCAGAATCTCCTCTCCATGTTCAGACAACTCGAACACTGAATCTTCTTCTTGAGACTGCTTTGGGAGCTCTGTGCCACAAAACAATCGCACACAATAAGCAACTTGATTGTAAGCAACTGGTGCCTCAACAATCATGTCGAACTCAATCATTTGCAACACAAGTCGCTCGTATGCAAGTATTGTGTCTCTCAACATCAAGTCGTTCGAGTTCTCTAGGAGGTCGGCTGTAGCATTCCTATCTTCACGAAGACATTTGATTACAGCTGCGATCTTCTTGGGATTGTCTTCAATCTTTCCTGCAAGGAACAAGCAAGAAATAGCGACAAACCTCCAGTCGAGGTTCTTGAATCGAGCAGGAAGGAATCCGTACCAATCTGCATCGTCCCATGAGGCAGGTTTTGTTGCATTGAAGCCATTTCGAGCATAGAAGCGGTTGAACAGAACGCATGCACAGGCACGAGCAGGGCGGAACATGTTGAGCCCTTCACTCATGCGATCGATCAGGTCGCAGCCATGCCATCGATACATGTCGACTTTGTTCTGATCCATGCCATGAACTGTGCGATGCATCTCTTGAAGATGTTTCTTGGTGAGCAGGCGAGCCTGACGCGTCTGGGGATCCAACCAAGACATCGTCGTCATCTTGATGTGCCCAACTTGCTGAGAATAAGCCGGTAACTGACTTACTCAACCTATCAATAGAAGTCAGCAGGCTCTACCTTCGAAAGAAGAGCAGAATCGAAACAACCACCGCTGTGCCATGTTGCTGTCGTCTCATTCACCATCCGACCCTCCTCTCTTCTCCTATCCCCTCCTCTCATATCTCATCTCATCCTCCTTTCCTCTTTGCTCTTCTTCCCCTCACACGCATCACATCTTATCTGATCCCATCCTGCTCACCCTACTCGCCATCCAACCCGCTTCCTCTTGCCTGCTCCATTCCTACCACGAAACAAATTTTCGACCAACACCCCAAGATGGTTTCAAAATCAGGTGTTTAATTTCAAATATTGAATTAAGTATAATGCCAAGGTTCCAATCTCGAACTGTGGTGGGATCAAGACCATGGTTTTCTGCGGTGATAGTCCTCCTCCTCCTCCTCCTCCTCCTCCTCCTCCTCCTCCATTATCGCAACTCATCAACCCCATCATCGCTTACACTTGAAGTGACTGAGACTGCTCAAGGAGGGGGCAAGGACAGGTGTGGGCTAGCCTGAGCTCCCGCACTTCACGAGCCGAGGCATCAGGATGGTAAACTCTTATGCCATACACGTTGCAAGGGCAACTGACATGCTCTCTGCGAAATCTTTGATGTTGAAGCCAGTGAGCAAGACCATCGTCAAGAAGGGAAACGGTGCCGAGGTGATGTAGACAACGCATCTTGCGACAGCTGTTGTGAACTTGCCCATGCCAATTCCAACATTGCAGGTCTCCCGTGGGCAATATGTTACCGTTCACTGCAAAGGATCTTTTCAGAACGGGGTCGTGTTTTGGGACACCAAAGACCCTATGTACGATGTGTTCGAATTCCAAGTGGGGAAGCAGCAGGTCATTCAAAATTGTCTCGTTCGGCATGGTTTCATGCCTCCCAGGTGATCAAAGGCTGGGACGAAGCGATACCCGGCATGCGAGTGGGGGAGGTAGAGTGAAGCAGGAGGCTGTGCATGAGGATCATGGACTTGACTTGTGCACTGAAGATCGCGACCATCACTTGTGGCCCCGACACAGCATATGGATCCCAGGGGTTTGAGGCCTGGGGTGAACGCGCTGCTATCCTCAGGGCAGGAGAGCTTTGACACGTCTGCAGGAATTCCCCCGCATGCAACTTTGGTATTTGAGATTGAAATAGTTGCATGCCGCGAGCAACGATACTTGTGAAAGACCCTGATGAAAACAACAATGAAAGAGGGAACAGGGGCAACGGCCCACCCCGGTTATGATTACAAACTCGTATCATCTCCCTCGGCGGAATAGTAGTTGGAATAGTTTTCGAGAATTTTAGGATCATTGAATAAAATAGAATACATCTTAGGTTTATCAAGCTAATATCAACAATTACTTGAGGACAAATGAAACAATTTACATGGTACACGTCGGCTGATCATTCAGCAACATCATACAGCAAGTGTGAGCCGATCCACAAAATGCACAGCCCATCCCGGCCATGAAGTTTCTCCATCTCCTTAACTCTTGCAGATCCATCGCGCACAGGCCTAACAGCAGGGAAGACAGGAGGAGCGACACATTGATGAAATCCTGCTGAATGAGCTCCATTGACGGTGCAACATTGTTTTGATCTTGAGAGTTTGCAGCTGTTCTACTGCTAATGTTGTGTATACCTCCGGCCCAATACGCACAAAGCAGTGGGAAAAGAATCATCAAAGATAGCAGCAAGCATGAAGCACTTTTGCTTTCAGGCGTTGCCTGCATTGGAGCAGGAAGTGGAGTTAAAGCGTAGCCATTTTGAAATAGAAAGGAAATGAGAAGGAGAGAATAGGCCTTCCGATGTACCAGCATAGATAGTTAATGCCAAAACAGACTCTTCAAGGAGCTTTATCAACTTGAGCAAATCTGCAAAAACAATCAGCAGTATGTTGCACAACTTCAAGTCTTCTTGCCATCATCTGACCATCTCGAAAATTCATCAGAAAAATCCTGACACTATCTTACAATATATCTCCTCATCCTATTCCTCACATGAACACAAGTATACTAACAAGAGCCTGTCATTTCCTTGCCGCCCTTTGTCCTGACTGCGGCGCTTCAAATACACAGGGCGGATAAAGTAGGGCGCAACTCACGTCTGGTAGAATGACGATGTAACACTTCCATACAAGTATTATTAAAATGCATCTATTCCTGGTACTCACAGGAAGAACCAACCAATGTGAAGGTTTTTTATGTATTTGGGTAGGGTAGGGTCATCATGGGGGCTAACCTTGTTTTTTTCGTGCATCGACATCGCTTTTACTAGGTGGTTCTCGCTGCGGCCCATCCGATCGGGCCCGCCGGGTCGGATCGCGGGGTGCCACATGGACTGAATGAACAATAATGTAGAGCTATGGGATCTCAGTACCAATTACTCCTTCTTTTTACTCAAAGTTAAGTTAAAAATTATTAGGAGGGCATTTATTGGTCATTTTTAAGGGAATTATAACACTTTTAAACTCGGATTTCCCCAACTCCTCAGATTCTAGATCTTATGCACAGCCGGCGGCGCAGCGTCCCGCATGCTGCTCTGACTTGTCATGCGCCTCGGCCCAGGGTTGTCGCCTAGAAACCTGCCAAAGTTTACACTCTCTTTGCTGCTGCCCCTTTCTTGTGCGAGTGTGAAATCGTGGAAATTTCGTGCACAATTCTAACACGCTGCTTTCGCAGGGTATTCATTCCATTGAGTGCCGACGCCTCTTTAGCGACAGAGCACTTCTGTGTCTGCGCTCAACGAATCCAAGAATGGATCTTATTCCTAGAACTTCAACCTTGAAGCGGGACATGGCTTGTGTCCCCTGCAAGAAGAGCAAGATCAAGTGTGACTCCGGGCGCCCCTGTCGACGATGTTTACTCAAAGGAATACCGGAAGAATGTGTAAATCAGCCATCGGTTCCGGCCGAAATCGTTCCAGGAATAGTGAAGGCCCCGGCATGCGAGCGCTGCCATAGATTGAAGGCCAAGTGCGATGGTCTTCGACCGTGCATGCGGTGCATGCAGCAAAATGTGGGTGTGGAATGTAGAGACAGGGAGAAGAACCGAGACTACAGCAGTCAGCCTTCAATTCTGTTCGATCTGAGCAGTTCTTCCTCAGATGACCTTGGGGAGATCGAACGACCCATTGAGTTTTCTTACGATCCCTTTGAGCGCACGGATATATCAGCCGGGTTCTCAGGACGTTACTCCTCGTTCCTTCCCAATCTCCTTAGGATTGTTTGGGAAAATCAAGGCGTGTCGGTCGCTGGAGCGGAGAAAATATACACGAACCTTCCGACCAGCGTCCAGAAAAATTTACATCTGTACCTTGGAGCTTTGGAATATGTACTTGATAGGTCGAGGGGAGAGCAAGGTAACGCGCATACCATTGTTCCTGTTCGACTGGATGGTTGGCAAAAGTCTGTACGGTGCGGGTTTCAAGCAATCGCCATGGACTCGAGCACAAGCAAGTGGGCAACATGTGCTGTCAACGAGTGGCTGGCGGAGTTTGCAGGTGTACACAGAGAAGAGATGCTAGCGCGCATGGCGAACCAGAACATGCAGCTTGCTTCGACAGAGCTGCGACAGCTCTGCGGTCACCTGATGTTCTTGATCCACATGTCGCAGTATGCATTGGGGAACAAGAAGGTGAATTGCAGCGACAAGACCTACTTTTACTCGAGATGGAACAAGAACTTTGCGATTGATGAGAACCCGGAGGGAGTCCTCATGAGAGCTTGCTTCACTCTGCACGCAGATGACGATGGCAACGTGACTGGGCTGACTCGTTCGATTGTGGCAATCTCCGAAGAAGAGTACAACCTCGCTCTCGATACGATGCCTGTTGCTTGCGAATACTTTGTCTCTCAAATCGTGGGCAAGAAGTACGGGAAAGAGCTTATGTCGAGAAAGCTGGTCAATGATGAGAAGATAGAGACCATAGCTTCGGATCCACAGGGCTTCAAGAATCTTGAAATCTTGAACGACATCATGGATCGCCATCTTCGACACGTTCTCTCAGCTGCAATTGCTCAAGGATTCGAGTTTTCCGATTATCCATGATGAGACTGTTTGATCTTGTCATGAGGTTTTTGTGAATTTTGATAGTGAGGGAATTGTGGCAAGCATTTGTTTTGATTTTGGGCCGCTCCGAGGATGAGATACTCTGCCGTTTCTGGTGTTTTCCTTCAGAATTTTGGGTTTGTCCGATTTATTTTTGAGAGGCAGTTTTTAAAACGACTTTCCCTCTTTCGTTTACAATTCTCTGCAGTGTGAATATACCATTAAATGAAAATTGTCAATCATGAGTGATTTTCCACCAGCTCAATCATTTATTCCCCTCCAGCCATTTCCATGGTCAAGCACGACAGGAAAGAAGAGTTTCGTCTGCAATCAGAAGTTTGCGGGCTTCCGGGGCTCATCCAACGAACTGGCGGATCTCAGTAGCTGGAGGCTTCCAACCCTGCGGCGTTGGGCCATCGAAGAAGACATGCTCGCACAAAGACTTGATCTTAGGAGCGAGCATCGCGCCTGCGCAGCTTGTCAGGGATTCACGGATGGCCGTTGCGCAGGACTCGCCTTCAGCTCTCTCCACAACCTCCCCATCCTTGACGAAGAAAAGGGTTGGGAGTGCAAACGCCTGAGAAGTGAAACAGCATCGTCAGCCTAAGGGAACAGGAGGGTAGAGGGACTGGACCTGAAGCTTGGTTGTCAGAGCCTTGTTCTCCGATGACTCCTCGGCGTCGATCTTGACGAACTTGATCTTGGATGCGTACTCCTCGGCAACTTTGTCGAGCTGGGGAGCAATCAGCCTGCAAGGAGCGCAATCCGGCGTGAAGAAGTCAACCACCATGAGCCCTGAATGTGTCTGCCGTGGTAGCCGTTACAACAGGAGCAGGTAGGAGGGGCGAGAGCATCGTGACAGGACAAGAGCATCGAGACAGGAGGCAATCTTTTGGTATCAGTCACAATGTTCACAAGTGAGTTTGTCTTGAGCAGCTGGATGATCGAGCGAGCATTACACATTCACGGTCATTACAACCTTCATTTCCTCCACAAGACGGGTGGCATCCACTTTCTCCACGGCGCCCATTCGCAACATCGCCGAGCTGATCAGGTTCCTAGCCACTGGTCGAGATGACTGCAACGGCTTCATCGAGGTCCTCAGCATTCCCGGCCTTGTCGCGCTAGGGCGCAAAGTCGAAATCCCGCATGGTCCGAAGGCAGTGAAGGCGTCGGCCTGTGCGATGAGGGAAAGGAGAAGCAGCGTGCAGACGAGGGATCGGTGTGCTCTCTTGATATCTGCATGGAAACCCTCGGCATATCCCGCCATCCCTCCCGTCACGTCGCCTCCTACTGCCCTCCTGTTCCCTTGCGCTGCCCCGACCATCGTCCTTACAAGGGCCTTTCGGTGTAAACCGAATCGACTCAGAAGCACATTTGGTCTTAATCGATTTAAGTCGAAAGCTGACTCAAATCGAATCAATGCACAGGAACAGTTAGTTCAGCATGGCCGCAGGATTCTAGGACATGGGCAGGGACATGGGAGGGGAGGGCAGGAGGGGGAGGAGGAGATGAGAGGATGCGTAGCGCAGGAGGAGGAGCGGAGGAGGAGAGGAGGGGGTTTGGGCTCAGCAGGAGAAGGAGTAGGACTAGTAGGAGGGTAGCTGGAATCTTTGGTGGGCATGCATAACGCGGGTGGGACCTCGCTCGAGAAGCCGAGCCAGGAGGAGGGCAGTTGAGCTTACAGCGCGATAAGGTCGAACTCCTGACAACATGGGAGACAAGGTTCGCAAGGGACTCTCGAGCCAGAAGCTCTACGCCATGTGCGACTATCTCGGTATTTCCCACGCCGAGACCAATTACTTCTGGATAGCCGAGCTCGCCCTGCTCGCTCGCCTGCCCCCGAACTGGAAGACGTACAAGGACCCAGAGGGTCATGCTTACTTCCACAACCACGCGACAGGGGTGACCTCGTGGACGCATCCTCGTGACAGCTACTTCTTCCAGCTCGTAAAGCGCGAGAGGTCCAAGACTCTGAGCTCCAACCACCTGGCTGATCAGCAGCGGACGGTGAGGTGGGACCCCAAGGGCTGTCCGGAGGAGGTTGAGCTGAGCAACGGCAACATGACGGCCACCGTCGTTCGAGAGGGGATGTACCCCTCCGTCAGAGCAGCAAACAAGATGGTGGTGGGGGTACACTGCTTCCAGCTCAGCGTCGACAACCTGGAGGAGGATGGCTACATGCACATAGGGATATCCAAGGAGAATGTCCACTACAACGCCGACGCCATCCCTGCCGAGGACTACAGCTTCCACGGATACTCCACAGTAGGAGAGCTGTACGTGTGCGGGAAGCTGGTCAAGAAGGGGATCGAGAAAGTTCAGCGGGGCGATCTGGTCACTGTCATGGTGGACTTCAGCGATCGGATCATTGTGTGGTACAGGAACAGCCATCCGATCGCCTACTACGAGGGGTTCGAAGGGTCTGAGTACTACCCTGCCGCTGTCTTCGGGCTGGAGGGCTACAAGTTGACCGTGAAGCGACTCAGTACCGCTCCTCCCCCGATCATGAAGTGGCAGGAGCACGATGCGGAGAAGGTGTACGTGTACAACCATGGCCTCGTGGTCCGCAGCAAGATGCACTCCGGGTTCGTGACGGCAAGGTGTGCCCACTGCTACGAGGGAGGGGAGCCCTACTTCGAGATCACCGTAGACGTGCTCTCGCGTGACGGCTTTGTCATGGTCGGCATCGCCAACATGGAGGTGGTGGAGTGTGAGACCCAGTATCCCTCGGAGATGTACAACCACTGCGGCCTCGCCTCCTCCGGCGAGGTCTTCTGCATGGGAGCCAGGGTCAAGAGCAACCTTCCTCGCATTCAGCGAGGTGACATCGTTGGTTTCCGCCTGTTCCTCTCGCAGGGCAAGGTTGTGTTCTACCTCAACGACAAGCCCATCGTCGAGCAGCGCAACCTCGCCACCTACGAGCACTACTACCCCTGCGTCACCTTCGGCAACACAGGCTATGAGGTGAGGATCAACCCTTGCCCCCGCATCCCCCTTGGCGTCCCCCGATGGGCCCCCGACTCCTTCGACCCCCCCCGGTACCAGCTGGGAAGGGACAACCTGCTAGTCAAGGCGACGAGGGCGCAGCAGTGCGTTACTGTCCTGTCCGATATCGAGTACGAGAGCGGGCTCCAGTACTTCGAAGTCTCCTTCCCCTCCATCCACCCCGACGCCGAGCTCTGCATCGGCATCGCTGCCCCCAGCATCATCGACAACTTTCGCGTCCTCCCCGCCCCCGAGTTCAACCACTTCGGGTACATGATGACGGGGGAGATCGTCGGGCTCGGGCAGGTGGTGCGGGACGACCGTCCTCGGATCCGCATCCTGGACAAGGTGGAGATGGTGATCGACTACGGGATGGAGCAAATCACCTTCTTCCACAACGGCTACCCCGTCTCCAAGGTCCAAGACAAGCACATTCGGGGCCGCCTCAGGCCCTGCATCACCTGCGCCGGCCCCTTCGAGGCCGTCATCAACCCGACGCCGATGCTGCCCGCCATGCCCCCCGAGTGGGATCCGGCCCGCCGGCAGGAGGCCGTGGAGATCAGCAAGGACGGACTGACTGCGTCCGTCCAGCATGACACCGGCAGTGCTCGGTCCGTGTGGGGCACAACAGTCTACTCGCACGGCGTGCTGTACCTGGAGATTGTGGTGGAGCTTCACGGGAGGACGGGGTACTTGGTGTTCGGGGTGGGCAACCGAAACTTTGCAGGGGGAAGAAAGTTCAGCGCGCTGGCCACCCTGCCGTTGGAGGAGTACTACATCATCGGGTACACGTCCAGGGGAGACATCATCCTCGGGGGCTACGTGGAGAGGAGGGGGGAGGAGCAGTGGAGCAACAGCGACAGGATGGGGCTCATGGTCGACTTTGACAAGGGCATCTTTGCGGCGTACAAGAACGGGCAGCCCGTAGTGATCGGCGACTGCCCGGGTATCAACGTTGGTGTCTCCCCCGTAGTCACCATGATCAACGGCCCTCACTCAGTCCGGCTGGTCCCCATGCCCCTCGTCCCCCATCCCCCCCACCGCTGGGATGCTGAGCTCTGCCACAAGGACGTGCTGCTGTCGAACTACGACAGGACGGCCAAGAACAAGGCGACGTCGGGGTATCCCACCATAGTCTCCGCTCACGCCATCCGGCACGGGCAGCAGTACATCGAGTTCTTCATGGAGTACCTCCCCGAGTCCTCTTTCCTCATGCTCGGCCTCTGCTCGGGCCCCGCACACACGGCCAACACGCGGATGCTCTCGTCCGACATGGCGTCATGGAGCTACTCGTCCTCGGGGGAGATCTGGGTGCGGGGGGTGAGGGTTCAGAGCTCGAGAGAGCCCTTCATGACCAACGACACCTTCGGCTTCCTCCTCGACGTCGACCAGGCTTCTATCACCTTCTTCCGCAACGGCTACCCCGTCGGCTTCTGCGCAGACGTGCAAGGGGATGCGGTCATCCATGGCCTCCGCCCCTTCTGCACCTTCGGCTACTCCAACTATACCATCTTCCTTAATTCCTGCGCAAGGTTGCCCGAGGGCTCCCCGCGCTTCGACATGGTCTACAAGAGCCCGGACATCTTCGTCTCCCAGGACCACCTGACCTCCACCTGCCTCTCCTACCTCGCCTGCCACACCGTCCGCGGGACCTCGGGCGTGTCTACGGGAGTTTTCTACTTCGAGGTCAGGGGCGATGCCCGTCCATTACCTCCGCCTTCTCCCTCTCCCTCCTCCTCCTCCGCACTTCCGTCCTGTAACTTGTGCGTTCTTGGACATCTTTTCCCACCTTCTCCAGTTCAACCCTGTTCTTTCTCACGTTTTCTTCCCTCTTTCCTCTCCTCTCTATCTTCTCCTTCCTCCCTCTCCCTTCTCCGCCTTCCCTTCTCCGCCTACCCCCTTCCTTCTCACCTCGGCCCTCAGGTTCGGGTCAACTACATCAAGCTCGGAGGATACCTTGCGCTGGCGTTGGGAACGCACGACATCTATCAGAACAAGGCTGTCCGGCCCGTAGCTCACTACCACTGCTTCGCCTACACCTCGCAGGGAGAGATTCTCAGCATGGGCCAGACCATTACTGAGGGCCTTCCGAGGATCGTCTCGGGTGACTCCATGGGCCTGCGTGCAGATTTTAGCACGGGTAATGCTGCTGCTGCCTCCTCCTCCTCTGCTCCTCCTCTGCTCCTCCTTCTTCCGCTTCTCCTCCTCCTCCTCCTCCTCCTCCTCCTCTCTGCTACTGCTACTGACATGTTACCTACGGTTTTCCTCCCCTGACGTGCTGACAGGTCTTCTCATCTTTTACAAGAATCGTCATCCTATAGGACATGTCGGCGGCATCAGTGGCGAGCTCTTCCCGGCCATCATCTACGGCAACGAGAAGTTCAGCACGACTATCTACACCAACGCTCGCCAGCGCCTCGAGGTTCCCTGTCATCTCCTTCCTCATCCCACTACCTTTCCTCCTCTTCAACCCGTTCGTTATCCTTTCTACCTTTCCTCCCTTTCCTTCTCCCCTCCTCCTTCCCCTTCTCCTCTTCCTCCTGTCTTCTCACAACGGTCGCAGGTTCCGAGCTTTCACCAGCAGACGCTCCCTAAGAGCATCCGACTGGAGGCTTACGACATGACGGCAAAGAACGTCAGCGGCAGGGGCTTCCCTACTGCCCGCGCCTCCTCATGCTACCGCTCGGGGACCTTCGCCTTTGAGGTCACGGTAGAGAGTCTTGCGGAGGGAGGCTTCCTCAGCATCGGCATCGGCTCGCTCAACATCGCCGAGAACGAGGAGTACATCCCCCCCGAAAAGTTCAACAGCTTCTGCTTCACCTCCTCCGGCGAGATGTTCGCCCTAGGCCAGGTCCGCCCCTGCTCCCCTGCCCCCTCAGCTCCCCCTGCTCCGTCACCTCTACTTCTCCTGCTCCTGCTCCTTCTCCTCCTGCTCTGCTCCTTCTCCTCCTGCTCCTGCTCCTCCTGCTCCTCCTGCTCCTGCTCCTCCTGCTCCTCCTGCTCCTCCTGCTCCTCCTGCTCCTGCACCTCGAGTGTAGCTTCTCATGGTGCTGCCCTTGCTCTGCTCGATTTCCCGTCCTTCAGTAATGCTCCTTGGTGCTCTGACTGATGGCCTTGCAGGTTGTCAGCGGAGGTCACCAGCAATTCTACGAGGGCGACGTGGTAGGGTTCATCTGCAACCTCGACAAGCTGTTTGTCAACTTCTTCATCAACGCTAAACAGGTGGAGGAGGGAGGAGGGGAGGAGGGGAGAGACGAGGGAGCAAATAATCAACTCATGATAGGTTGGGGAGATAAGGAATCTATCTCCTCACATGGAGTACACTCCCTTCGTGGTGTTCGGAAATGGAAACTTCAAGGTTTGCTACGAACCATTTCTTCTCTCCCTTCCCTTCTCTCACTTCTCAACCCTTTCCCTTCCTCCGCCATCCTCTGGAACCGCCACTGCCCTCCTTCCAACTGTTTGCTTGCCCCTCCCCTTCCCCCCCTTGTTTCCTCTCCCTCCTCGCCCGTTTTCCATACCCATGGCTCATCACGTCGACCAGGTCACCATCAACCGTGTCCCCAAGATCGGCAAAATCCTCGCGCTGCACGAGAAGATGTCGCAGGAATCGAAGGATTCGCGACAGGTCTGGTCCTTGCTTGCCTTCTACCTCATTCTCTCACTTCTTCCATCTCTCCTCTTTTCCTGTCTCTTTCTCCCCGACTCTCTCCCTTACCCTGTCTGTCTGTCTGTCTGTCTGTCTGTCTGTCTGTCTGTCTGTCTGTCTGTCTGTCTGTCTGTCTGTCTGTCTGTCTGTCTGTCTGTCTGTCTGTCTGTCTGTCTGTCTGTCTGTCTGTCTGTCTGTCTGTCTGTCTGTCTGTCTGTCTGTCTGTCTGTCTGTCTCATCCATTTCTCGTCTATGCAGAAAAACTTTCTGGACGACGGCGAGGACGACCCTCACGTCTTCGACGTGCATGGAGGATACATCAAACCCCGCTAGGCTGCACAGCAAGCTTACATGTCACATTATGTTTATCGTTAGAGCAAAGTACACGTCATATCAAGAATCTCTCATCGACCAGCGTCTTGATGGCCACATTCTTGCTGCCAAAGTGAGACCTCAGCTTCACCACAACCATCGACGTCCCGTACGTGAAGAGAGCAGCGAAATATACATTCTGGAAGATGAGGTCCCACGTTATGAGGACGAGGAAGTCAAAAATGAGCAGCTGCCACTCGATGCCGTACAGGAGGACCCGAGAGAAGTTGTTGTTGTTGTCCCGGAGCAGCACCGTGTGCTCGCGCACAGTGCGGGGGGGGAAGCCGAAGATCTTGTGAGCTAGGCTTGGTTCAAGGATCTCACACTTGCTGTCGGGGGCCTCGATGTCACCGACGAAGTTGACCTGGAGGTACTCGTTGATCTGATGGTGGGCCTTGCACATGGTGACGACACGGTTGCGCTGGTCTGCGGTCCTTCCTCCTCGAGCTGCAACGCCTCCAGTGGGGAAAAATGAGCTCCGCTTCTGCTGGTAGTTTTCCCTTAGCTTGTCGGTGATGTACATCTCAAAGACCTGCGAGAGTTCAGGTTAGCCGATTCAAGAGTCTCTGTGCTCAGAGCCACCTGGTCCGAATTCCCCCGCAGCTCCTCCTGGCTCTTGTTCGTCAACCCCCTTGATGGTGCTTTCCCTTGATTTTCCTCCTGAGCACGTAGTTACAGTCATACAAAGCTCTTCTGTGACTGGCAGGGGTTCAAAGTACCTCGAAATTCGTTTGCATCTTCAGCATGTTCACGTCCGTGTGAGCGTGGACCGATCGACCGTGTATATAATATCCGTGGAGATATTCGTCCAGGATGAAAGTTGAGATGTTTGAAAGCTGGAGTAAGAATTCCATCAGTTGGAGGCCAGGATGAGAAGAGAACTTCAACAAACCTGACAGAGGTCAGCAAAAGTGTCGAGCGGGTCCTGCGCAAGGAATTCAGCGAGGCCAAGATAGTTTAGATCTCTATACCTGAAGGAAGTGATACATCAACTTCACTACAACTAGCTGCAGAGTTGCAATCGTCAAGCGACCGGACTCGCTAGCACATTCGTATAAATGCAAATCTACCTGGAAGATGACGACGATAGCATACCAAATGAAGTAGACAAAGAATCGCAGGGCAATATTAGGTTGCGTGGTGCTCAGGTTTTGCACATCGGGCTGAACAAGAATGAGATGGGAGTCAACAAAAAACTGTCAGAACAACCTGTGGAGAGTCAAGGTTCTGGAGATTTAGACCTGGGGCATCAATCAGCCTCGGCAACAAAAATTCAGAGACAGGATACCTGCCATGAAAAACAGCACAAACATGAGCGTGAACTCAATGCTTGTATGACGACATTCTTGCATCTCACACCACTCATTTGCCATGAAGATTGTCCTCCAGACACTGACATTCGGAAGTTCAGCTGCTTCACCCGGGTTAGTGCTGCTTGTTCTATCCGACGTTCGTTCCTTCTCCCAGTCGATGAAGAAAATGTCCACATTGCATTGCTCGTATATCAGTAAACCAATCTGCAACACTTTGCAAACAACAGCAGCAATGACAATCGAGAGATACTCCAGAGGGGGGTTGTCTGTAGGCAACATTTCCTTGACCACCGCCTGGAGTTTGTAAAAGCAGAACCAATACGCGGTCATGACCACTAGCCACCAAAAGTAGAAATCTCCAACAACACCAACCACATCCGACGCCATTCCAGACAAGGTCACAGAAGTCGATTGGTTTCGAATCGAGAACTTGAGACCAAGGTATATCACCATTACAATATTGTAGACGATGAACAAAATCATCATCGTTCTCCAGTAAGAGGACAAGTCTTTTGAGTATGTTGATGAGAAGGAAACCTTGGGGTATCTCAAAGACTGGCCTGCAGATGTTTTGGAAATATAGCCTTGAGGAATGGTAGATGTGACCTGTTGCTGATACTGGATGACCAAGACAGGAGGGTATATCCTCATTGCTTCGTCAACGGTGGTCGAGGGATTGTCTTGCTGGAGCCTAACCCTGAGCTGGATTTGCTTAGCCCACCGCACAACCACCATATTCGAGGTGGATCCTGCCGAACTTTGGGTTGTTGTTGTATCAGGGATTTTCTTCCCGCTCAAGTTATCCCACAAAAAGAACCGTCTGTGTAGCACGACTGTATCGAGGAGATCCCACACCGAAGTTCCCGATAACACAGCTTGATTAGGCTTGGTGGATCCCTCTTGGTAATTTGTGATCACAATTGGTATTGGGAAAAGGTGAATTCCGTCAGTCCTCAAATTTCCCAGCTTGTCATAAGCATCATCCACCCAAGCCTCATAAAATACAGGCTCCCCATATGTATTGATAACATTCAAAAGGTCGATGGTACAGTCCTTGTAGTCATTATTACCAATCCTCGTAAATTCCAAAGCTATTCTCTCATCCCCTTTGCAAAGTAGAAGTTGAGAAGTCAAATCCTGAAACCCAAGAAAAGTGCCGTTCAAAGCATATACCGATAATGTAATGTTGAGAAACGAAAGCGGCCCGGACAAAGCAACTTGCCGATTGATTGCTGTATCAAGCAAAACAGTTCGAGATGTGTCCTCATAAAACAGCCATGGATAGTAGGCTTGCCATCCATTGAAACCATGCACCTTGCTTATAGTAGATGCGCTTACATAGGTCTGAAAAGTGGCACACGATGGTGCAGTGGTGTCAAACAATTGCAAAGTGCACAGGTTTGCTAACGTTTGACAAGCCTCCCATTTCTGATTATTCTGGCACTGGACTGCGGCTTGCAAGAAATATTTGAGAAATGGCTGACTTTTTGCTACACTCATTGATGTGGTGATCGATCCATCCACATCAATTACATCATTGAAGGTCTGCTGTCCGTATTGAGAAGGTGTATACTTCACTTGGCTTACTTGACTGCTTTGCAAGCAGACATTGAGGCCGACAAATGGAATGTCCTGCGCTATTGTTCCTGCAATCACATTCGAATCTCGGACGTAACCAGCTTTACATGTGCAGCTCCCGCTGTTAGAGTCTCGATACATGTGCACATCCGGGCATTGCACACAAACGTATGGATTGCTGGATGCGACATAGGTATTCAGGGGACACAGCAAGCAAGATTTCCCTGTCTCAGATACCAACCCACTGCTGTTGTAGTCCGTGATGATGTAGCCCGTCGGGCAAGTACACTTCCCTCCAGCGCTGGTCGGTCTAGTGGAGTTGTAGCAAGATGCCGCAAGCACACTCGAGACGTTCACAGTCACTGATGCTGAACATCTGCCGCACGTGTTCCCATCTTGCGACAGGACCAAGCCCGAAGCTGCGCAGTCAAGACAGAGAGAAGTGCTGGTTGGGTCGGACCTATAGTTGGGAGGGCAGACGCACCCATAGCCATCGCTGGATGCGATCTTCGCACCTTCACATGTCTCGCAGGATAGGAGGGGAACGCTGAAGAAAGAAGTCTTTGAGTTTGAGGAACAGGATGAAGGAGCGACTTTTAGCAAGGCCTGAGTGGACAGGTCCGTCGTCTGCGAGCTGCAGGTTGCAGCGAACAGACCCAGAACAATCAGTGGCAATCGAAGTGGAACTCGAGTGAGAATACACATCCTCCTGAAGAATCTTCACTCACTATCCGTTCGATCCCGCCGACAACACATTGCTGCACCTGCAAACGCTTCAGCACACCCAGGACATGGTAAAACACCGACAAGCAACATCAAACATGAAAAGATTTCCAGCCTCCTACCCCACCTCTTCTCACCCCATCCGCTGCTCTTTTCTCAACTCTCAGCATAACTTAGTATCCTTTCCTGTCCTCTGGCGCTCATCCCCCCCCTGTCCCCTCGCACCCAGTCGCTTTTTTCGCGCCATTTTCTCTTTGAGGGGTAGAGCTAGACCGTCCACCACCACCCTCTTCTCTTCCCATCGAACTACCCTCCCTAAAATATCACCCCAGAAAAGACTATGGAATGAAGGGGTACTCGAAAGAATATGTCGGTTGGTAGGGGATGAGGGCGCCTTGGCCCCTCATACAGGATTTGAACCTTGCGCACTGCCATGCGCAGAGCAATTGGGAGTACCCCATGAAAATATTTCAAAATACCTATTTCATGTTTTCAATATTTGAAATATTGGTGATTGAATTTCACCTGCGCCATGAAACAGTTTGTAAGTTGCAGGAACTAAAATATGAGGCTGCGTCATGTTTCGAAACCAAACGAAACGAAAAGGCAAAGAAGGGAAGGGTGGTGGAGAGGAGAGGATGAGTAGAGAAGAAGGCAGTATGATAGGACAGGAGGTTAGAAGATGCTTGCATGACAAGGGAAGAAGATTTCAAGATGGAGAAGATGATCGTGCAACCGGCGAGGTGTGATTGTGGAGAACAAGGCAGTGCAATCAAAGTTCAGGAAAGTACGACAAGGGTACGAGACACGAGAAGCATAGGTCGACTGAACGAACATCAAACTACGACATTGTGACTAGTCCGTAGTAGAGAGAGGAGAGGCCCCGCCCCTTCGAGGATGACAAACTTGATGTTGGTTCGTGAGGACCAGGGAGTACTTGTCTTGGTTGAAATAGCCAAGAGCTCGTGCTAGGATCTTCTGCAGTCTACTGAGACTCGCGCTGTGCTGTCGATGACTTGTAAGCTCGCTAACTCTCTGTGCAGTTTTGCCCCGAAACCAGCGACTATGGCACTCTAACTGTACAAATGCCATGCTGAAGTTGGTCCGGTGAAACCTTGGGAGTGAAACAAAGGTTGCCTGCCGGGCCTCAACCGATCTCTTCCTGTTGCCTGTGAGTAGGACAAGTACAAGAGCAGACCTGAGGATCTTGTGCTCTAACGGGGAGAGAGGATACCAGGATGATGGCGGGGTACCACGTTGCTTCCCTGACTAGCTCCTGGAAGCTCGCGATCCTCTTGGTTTCTCTGCTCTGCTCGAGCTGCATCGTCCTGGCGAACCAGGAGATGGCTAAGGACGAGGAGGTGAGGAGAAGAGTCGCCTCGATAGCCTCTCTCCTCGAGCAGCGGGATTGCTCGCACTTGAAGGGCCGGCAACTCTCCGACTGCTCCTGTCGGCTCGTCATGCCTGGAGTCGAGCAGGCATGGCAGCAGGCTGACATCATCGTCGCCAAGCTGCTCGCCCAGCCGTGCGATGCAGGATCGCCCGGGCTGACCTCGCAGGAGCGAACTCTGCTCCACGCCATCGAGACGACGACGCATCACCTTGAGGCCGCACGGAAGTTTGACCAGGAGAGGAAGTATCTGGAGGGGGTCGTGGAGTTGATCCATCTGTTCAACAACGCCAAGAGAGTGACGGAAACTACTTGGGCGTTCAACCATGAGACCTATCTGGCGATCGAACATTGCAGGCCTGTCAAGAATTCAGTCTAGTCAGCCCTGACTTCCCTACAGTCTCTGGGCCCGGGCGCTTCCTGAGTATCAGCTGGAGAGCAGCAGCGTGAAGAAGAGATATCAGACCATCTCTGAGGTGAAGAGGAATTGGTTGTGAGCCTCTTGACTCCTCTCGATCAGGACATGTACCAAATTTGCAAATCTGCAAGAAGATTTCATGCCCGGAACCCGCACCCCAATCAGGACAGCAGCAGCAACGTCATAGGAGAGCTCGCGCACGAGGTTGTCGAGGGCTCGGGACCCTCCCTCTCTCTTGTTCCCAAGTCTTCCATCCCCTCCTCGCCCCCTTCCCTTCTCCTCCCGTCTTCCGGTCTTTCTCCCCCTTGGATTCCCCGGCTCGGTCGCTCGTTGCCCCTCCATCTCCCCTCACGTTTCCTCAGGCTCGTTCAAAGATGGTCAAGGATCTGACCACCTTTGACGCGTGGTGCGGCAACCGGACGTCCTTCTGCCCAGAGTCATGGATCCTTGGAGGGCAGGTGGGGACGGATTTCCTTCCCTTGCTAGCAAGCATGCTGAAACCTCTCCAGGTGTTCTCCCTACGGATCGCTCAGAAGTACGAGGAGGCGATGAGTCTACTGTCAAGCTATGGAATCGTGATCTTTCCCAGCAAGTCTCGCACCTCCCCCGGTCTCCCCTGCTGGCACTGTTGCGCTTGTATGACCCCATCGCCCACAGGCCTGACCGTCAACCTCTGGAAGAACGTCTGGCGGTCCATTCAGGCTATTCAGAAAGTCTACGTGAGACTCCCGGCCACCAACAGGCTGCTCAGGAGCCGATTCCTTGCCGCTGAGCTAGCGCATCTGATCGTAGAGGTCTGCTACGAGACTGAAGGCTCCTCTTCCTCCTCCTCTCCGTCCTCCTGGCGCAGGTCCCAGGGAGTGTGAGGGGTTGGGAGGGTGACGTGGGTCAGGTGGGTCAATGGGAACTCGCTGGATGGATGTCTCAACAACGCGCATGCGATCGATCTGGAGAGATCGCTTCTGGTGCAGGTGTGGGGAGACTTGCTAGCTGTAGGGACGCTGAGTAGCTGCTGCAGATGGAGAAGGACTGGGAGAAGAACCGTCTGTCCTCCTTTCTCTCCTCCTCCTCCTCTCTAGTGTGGGGCAAGTCTTCCGACATAGCATGGAGGACGTTGAGAGTTTTCAGCTCCGTCTCTGCTCTCTCCCGTGTCAAGCTCCTCCTCTTCTCCTCCACTCGGGCCCTCCTGGCCTCTTTCAACCGCCTCGTCCTCTCGTCTCACAAGAGCTCCTGGCTCGAGAGAGGCTTGACAGGAATTGCACTAGATCCTGCAGGAAGGAGAATGCTCCCCAATCTACTGAAGGTCCCTTCCCTCCTCCTCTTCCGCTTTCCCCTCCCTTTCTTCCTCCCTTTCCCTCCCTTCCCTTCCCCTCCTTGTCATCGTCCTCCTCCTCCTGCTCATTCCCCACACTCTTCCATTCCTTCCCCCCTCCCCCTCCCTCTCCTCCCTCTGACAACTTCTTCGTGCCTATCTCCCATGGCAGCTGGTGATGCTCTGCCTGCTGCAGGTTTTCATCCTTGAAGGGCGTCTGGCCGATGCTCTCCTGGTCGCCCAGGTGCTGCAGGGAGAGGAAGGGTCAACCGAGCTGCTGCAGCTGCTGCAGCGTGCAAAGTCCCTGCTGCAGACGTTGGACGGCAGCCTTGCTGCTGCACGTTCTTCCTCCTCCCCTCCCCCGCCTCGTCCGGATGTTGTTGAGAAGGAGCTAGCGAAGATGAGTGTCTCGGAGAAGCTCGAAGCTGCCTGGTTGATCTCCCGTTGTTTCTCCTCCTCCCCCTCCCCCCCCCATTGTTCTCATCCCTCCCCCCGCAATCTCCCCTTCGTCGTCGTTCTCCTCCTTCACGTTCTTCCTCTACCTACACTTGTTCCGCATCATCCTTCTACGGATCATGTCATCATTTTCTGAACCTTTTCTTCTTCTTCTCTCTTCCTCTCTTCCTCCATCTAGGCCTGGATTGTCGCGCATGCTGCTGGTGGAGAAGAGCAAACTCTTCAGGTGGATAGGGGACAAGTCACAGTGCGTAGCCTCCTCGCAAGCTGCCGTCCTGCTGGGCGCTACCACCTCTTCCTTGGAGGTTTGGCCGAAAACATTCTCCTCCCCCTCCCCCTCCTCCTGACGCAAAGTGAAGGCGATGGGCGACTGTCTGAGGATGAGGGAGGGGGGAGGAGAAGCCTCTCTGCTGGCTGCGATCCTCTCCTACGTGGTGCATGCGATGAAGGGAAAGAAGGAGGAGATAGAAACCAACAGCATGCTCTGGTACTTGAGAGCCCTCGGGATGAGCGTCAAGGTGAAAACGCGATATCTCCCCCGTCCCCCTCCTCTCTGTCCGCCTCCTGCTCCTGCTCCTGCTCCTCCTTCAACGCCATCGTCTCATCATCTCCTCTCCTCTTCGTATGTCCGTCCTGTGGTGCTCTTGCTTCTGCTCCCGCGCTGCTTCCTTGTGACTCCATCACTTACTAATCGCGGGTAGACTCGCGGGTTGTCAGGGGTCGGTCAAGTGGCCTCGGTCATTATTGTCAAGGTACGAGCTTATCCTTCCATCCTCCATCTGCACACCGCCTCCTCCTCCTCCTGCTCCTGCTTCTCCTCCTGCTCCTCCTCCTCAAAAGGACCAACGGCAGTAGCTGTCCTCTCGCTCCCCCTCCTCATAGTTGCTCACATCCTCCCTCCCTCCCTCCCTCTGACTTGCATCAAAGATTTCTGCCCCGATAGTCCGTGAGCTCATTGACCTCGTCAAGAGGAGCTTGTGGGTATTGGGGAAGCAGACTGTGCAAGTGTTCCGTCAGGTCTGAATGCCCTGCTGCTGCTGCTGCTGCTGCTGCTTCTCCTCCTCCTGAACCTCTTTCTCCACCTGCTCCCCCTCCTTCTCCTCCTCCTCCTGGTCTCTCCTCTCCTCCCGTCCCTCACTTCCTTGGCAGACTTGCTCCTTCGTGCAGGATCTGAGCTCCTGGATACGTCGAGGTAAACCAAGCTGGACTTTCCCCTTCCTCTTACCTGCTCTCCTTTGCTCCTTGTTTACCTCCTCCTCTTCCTCCGGGTGCCGGAAGCGATGTCCCTTCCCCCAGTCCTACTTGTGACCTATCCCTGGCCTCCTCCTCGCTCTCTGTCGCTCCCTCACCTCATGCGCCTTGCTCGTCTCCTCTCGCTGCCCCTCACATGCTCGCAGGAGAGCTTCGCCGTCTGCTTGTCCGTCAGGGGGAGAAACTGATGAGCCTCGGAGAGATGGCGAGCTTGCAATGGATGAGGGTGAGGAGGAGGAACGGAGGAAAGGGCGGCAAGTGGCGAGGAGGAAAGCATTGTGTTGACGAAAGGAGGAAGGGGAGAAGAAAGGGGAGGAGGAGGAGGAGGAGGAGGAGGAGGAGGAGGAGGAGGAGGAGGAGGAGGAGGAGGAGGAAGCATGCTGTCGGATCATTCGGAGCATTGACTTTTGTTTCCTTCACACTGGCAAGGGCCGCGGCTCGTGAGGCGTGGGGGGGAGCAAGCTCGTTGCTCGTCACCGTCTGCTCACGCGTGCGAGGAGGATGGGAGGGGCTGGTGAAGCTATCGAAAAAGCTCTCCTTCCCCGCTCGAGTTGAAAAACTTTCGCCTCCTCCTCCTTCGTCACGACAAAATGGGGCGGCTAGTGCTGTCGAGGATCTTGGAGGACTTGGGGTCGCTTGCCGACGAGTGGAAGTATATCAGCGACGGGCTGCTGTCCTCCCTCCGTCGCGCATGGAGCTGGTTGAACGCGGCAGAGGCAGGCGGGGGGGGGGGGAGGGAGCGACAGTGGGCATGGAAGGAGACGATGAAGAGATGGAGGGAGCAGGGGAGATGCGCGCGACCGATGAAGGTGAGCGAGGAGGAGGATGCAAGAGGAGGGGGAAGGAGGAGGGAGCAGAGAAGGAGGAGGAAGCAGCAAGGAGGAGGAGAGGGAGGAGAGGGGGGAGAGGGAGGAGAGGGGGAGAGGAGAGGTGGTCCAGAGGAGAGGAGCGGGGAGGTGACTTGCTGCTCAGGCTGCGGGGGATAACGACATTATCCACTTGTTTGGAGAGAAGTCAGTAATGGGATTCTACCGCTGTAGCAAGACGAGTATCCGGAAAGCTTACCACAAGTGAGAGGAGGAGGAGGAGGAGGAGGAGGAGGAGGAGGAGGAGGAGGAGGAGGAGGAGAGTTGGGTGGGCGATCCAGAAGAAGGAATATAGAGTTGATGCCATTGGGGAGGAGAGAAGGAAACCTTTTGACATGGATAGTTGAACTGATCTGAGATCTTGGTTGCAGATTTTCCCTCCTCTATCATCCGGACAAGGCGAAGAAGAATGGTTTCACGAGGAAGGTGAGGGAGGAAGAGGAGGAGGAGGAGGAGGAGGAGGAGGAGGAGGAGGACAACGGTCAGAGGTGGTTGGGATGAGGATGCTGACCGACTTGCTTCAGTGCGCCGAAGATAATTTTCTCGACATGCAGAAAGCGTATGAGAGAGCAAAACAGCTCTGTTGACATGCACGTTGCATCTTAATGTCTCTTCCAGTTAGATCGCTCTAGTGTCGATCATGCCATTCTTGTCTCATCTCTTGTAAATTATTCTTTTTTCGTTCTGAGTGAACTTGTGAACAATTCGATCTGACTCCTCCTCCTCCTCCTCCTCCTCCTCCTCCTCCACCTCCTCCTCTCTCATCCCCGCCATAGGGGTTAACTCTTCTCTTCAGGGGTAGAGGGGGACGGAAAGAACTCGTCCTCACCGACTCGTGTCTAGGAGACGATGTGACTGGAAATAGCGTCAGCTGGTTCACGTCATGTGCATGTGCAGCAGATATCGGCCTCCTATCTCGCTACGATCCGTTCTAGGAAGAGCCACCGGGAGGTACCTTGTGTGAATCAGATAATACAACACCCAATGGAACAGCTTGTGTATAAGGCTCCTCTCCTTCTCACCCCCGCACTTCCTCCTGCCCTCCTGCTTGCAAGCTCTGTCTCTCCTGAATCT